AAACTATGTAAGTTGAAATGAAATAATCACTCTTGTGGAACGAATTATTTTGTAAGTTGAAATAAAATAATCACTCTTGACTTTTGTAGAACCTTTAAATAGTTTTGCTTTTATTCCAAAAATAATTTCTAGAATCAAAATATTGTCTTTCGGATTTAAGATAGATAGATATTATTGATAATAAAAAAATTCTATAAATACTCTCAAGTCATTATTTTTTCATTATTCTCAAATTATTAATTGAATATTAGTATGAACTGAATTATTCTATTTTTATAAAAAGTTACAATTTAATTTTTTTGCTATCGAGTTCAATTTTTATAACAAGGCACATGTAAATGGAAAGAAATTGAGTGGATTTGCATGTATAACAGGGTTATCGTCCCCTCAAACTTTTTAAGTTTTACTATTAAATTGAATGAATTTGCATGTATAATATTTGTTATTCTATTTTTTCAGTAATTTAAGGTTTAAATAAATTGAATGTGAGAAATGTAAATATTTGAAATTGATTATTTCAAATAGGAGAGAATGCATGTTTTGTAATTTAATGACGTTAGAATAGAAAATTCTTATGTTAGTGAATTTTATGAGTTAGAAAAAACATAGAACACAATTTTTATACTATCAAAATTAAATGATTATACAATTTTACAGTGAAAACTTTATTATTTGTTTTATCAATTTTAAGTAAACTTTACTTCTTATATATGTACTTAATGTATTTTTATGCTATTAAAATATGCACTTATTTCAAAATGTCATTCAAATTGAAATCAATCAAGTACCTTATATTCAAAATTGTGTTTGTCTCATTTATTAAATATAAAAAAAGAATGTGAGGTAAAGCTCGACTCATCCACTCCTACTATTTCAATAAATTCAAAATTTAAATTTCTAAATTCTAACTGAATTGTTTGCGAACACGACTAAAACTTGATCTATATATTGTTCAAACTCGTCTCATTTAAGTAAGTCCGGCTTCAAAATTTCACAAACCAAACCAAACTATAATCTTGAAATAGCTATGATTGAATAACAATTTAGCCCCTTTGAAATAATTTTTCTGAATCCGCCCCTGCGTACGCCATCCTGTAAATGTAAAGAAAATGCAGATAAGAATTCCATAAATTAGATGAATTGATGAATGAATATGAGAATGCAATTATTAATAAATATTTAGCGCAGATTCTACAAATATTATATTTTTGGTTTATAGAGTGAATTATATTAAAAAAGTATATTATAAATTATTTTTAAAATATAATTAATTTTGTGTTTATTTTAAATTATTTTTAAAAACATAGAGCTTTCTCAAGAGAAAAAATTTTCTGTGTAACCCAGATGAAGGAAATATCAATCCTTCAAGTTCTTATCATCTTTTTCCCAAAAAAAAAAAATAAAATAAAATTGTATTTTCTAACATGTTTACCAAATTCTAATGGCGAATTAAAATGCATTGAACACTGTATTAGAAAACTGAAATTAAATAATTCATAAGGATGATAAATTTTAGCAGAAGAAAGGAAGGAGAGAAGAGAGAAATTAATGTGCAAGGATTATTAGTTCTTTTCAATTTTCATATGAGATTTATAAATCCCTTTTTAAGAATAGTTTTCTTTAAAAAGCAGTGAAAGAAAGTGGAGAAAATATTTCTTAAATATAAAGTGTGAACTTTAATCTTTCACTTTTTTATATTCATAATACTGTAATATTAATACTCCATCATGTGTATATATACATATTCAAATGAGATTTTATAAGTTATATGTGTGAATATAATATTTATAATCGTAAGTTAGATAATTAGTACATTACATTTTGTAAATTTTATTATCAGTAAAAATCAACGATATTAATATAAACAATATAATCTACATACAAATTAATCATTATATTGATTGCAATAATCACTATCATTCATAAGTCGTTTTACTTATATACCTTCCATGAGTCTCACGTACCAAAGTTCCGAAGGTCGTTCCAACTCAGTGTAATAGGTCTTCATATTCAACTGCCCGTAGGTCGGCCTCATAAGCCCTCATTAGGTCCTAATGTCTTTTGTACATAGGTCGGCCACGTACTGACCTATTAGGTCCTAATAGACATGACCAAAACCCGGGTCGGGTCGCCGGGCTAAAAAACATTGACCCTGAACCGGCACGGACTTATACTCATGCCGGGTCCGTGTCGGGGCCGGGTCCGTGTTTTTTTAAAAAAAAGTATAAAAAAATAAAAAAAAAATTGAAAAGAAGGGTCATTGACCCGGCCCGGCCCTGACCCTCCGGGCCGGGTCATGAAATTTATGACCCTTACACGGCCCGTCTGAAATCCGGGCCGGTTCCGGACCCGTGGTCAACGGGTTTGACCGGGCCGTGTCAATGCCGGGTCTGGGCCGAGTCAGTGCCGGGTTGGCGGGCCGGGCGACCCTTTGGCCATGTCTAGGTCCTAATGTCTATAAGCTACTCCCATGATATCGGAGCTATCAGAACTTATCTTAGCTACTTGGTGGATGGTAAGTTCGAGTTACCCGAACTATCACGAGTCGACTCAAATAAAGGAGGTATCCACAAGGTCACTTATCCTTGTTACTTGGTGGATGACTTATCCAAGCTACAAGGTCGACGACTTATCCGAGGCACTAAAGACCGGCTTAACCGAGCTCTAATTACGACCGGTTCAGCTGAGCTACTCTATATACTATATCAAAAAGTGAAGTAGTACTTAGGGTATGATGGGGCATGGATTTGATTTGGTTTTGATTGGTTGTTTTTGTTAACTATAGTCAATTTTAAGAAATGTAGTATGATTAGCTGTTAGTGGGATTTTGAATTTATATTGAAATATTATTTAAAATAAAATAATTGAAATTGATTTGATATACTAATATGAGAAATGATATGAAGTGATAGTTAAAATTATGTGAGAACAGTGAATTAAAATTGATGTTATTTGTAAGAATGATAAATTGATATTGTTTAATTATATTAATAATGTTGAGATAGTATATTTGACTTTTAAGTTAAAAAAATGATTTAGTTAAAAATAATTGGTGTTTTTGTATCAAATCCATATCCACGCAATGAGATAGTTAAGTTCAAAATTATCGACGACGTAAAATGAGCACGGGATGACAAAATAAAATCTCGAATATGAGTGTCATAACATGGTCATACAGATATGATTATAAAAAAAAAAAAAAAATTTTTATAGAATATTTACCACTAGTTTAGACGTTGCCCTTATTTATTCTAAGATAAGAATCAAATAAAATTACGGTAATAAAAAAATAATAAAAAGAATAAAAAAATATTAAAGTGGTAATATCATGACATGATGAAAAGATGAAGAATAACTTTAAAAGAATTATTTGTAAGTTGAAATGAAATAATCACTCTTGTGGAAGCTTTAAATAGTTTTAAAAAAATATTTTGTAAGTTGAAATGAAATAATCACTCTTGTGGAACCTTTAAATAAATAAAGTAATCACTCTTGTAGAACCTTTAAATTATTTTTTGTGTTTATTCCAAAAATGATTCTAGAATCAAAATATTGTCTTTCGGATATAAGATAGATAGATATTATTGATAATAAAAAAAAATGCTATAAATACTTTCTAGTCATTATTTTTTATTATTCTCAAATTATTAATGGAGTATTAGTATGAACTAAATTATTCTATTTTTACGAAAAGTTTTAATTTAATCTAATAAAAACTATTCTTTTACTGATCATCACCTTTTATGTCACACATTGGATGAAGTCGAAAATATGGACTATAAGAGAGGCTATAAACTTATGAATAGAGAATATGCATTCTACGTAACAAACATAATAAACCACAAATTTAAAAGTTTTTTGTAATGATAGTTTTTAAAATTTATATTCTATTTTCATTGTTTGAGAAGTAATATATTTAAAATTAGTCAATAAAATAAAATCTAATTATATAATTCAAACAATTTTTTATTATAGCAAGAAATAATGCTAACCTAGCTTAAAAATCATACCACATACGAATGCGATCAAATTTACTTATAAATAAAACAAAATCTTGTATTTATGTCAAGAAATAATTATAAGCCAGCCTAAAAATCTTGTCCCAAATTAACTTGAGATTAAATTTAAACTATATATAAATCATTAAAATACAATGAAGATCAACTGTAATAAAGAAGAGGCGTGGAACACAATCCAAACACATGGAACAATACAGTATGCATGTGTTCTCCAAAATCATCTTCTCATATATTATCAATTAAGCATATTTCATTTTTTTCATAATCCCTTTTTCTAAATAATCATTATTTTTATTGATTAATATTATATTTCGTGAAGACTCCCCTGACGAGAAGCCATGGGTTCCCATCTTGAAACCAAGGAAATCTGGAGTGGTGGCCTACGGTAAATTCGCTGTGGACGAGTACAACAAATCCAGCCACTCCAGCCTGGAGTACAAGAGCGTCCTGCAGGGGCCCAGCGAAAAATTGGCGGGAGAAAGTACACGTGGCTTGACATCAATACCTCAAATGGGAAGTACATCAATACCTCAAATGGGAAGTACAGGGCAGATATGTACGGCTGGTGAGGTTCCAACGGTCACAAAGTCCTCATCTCCTTTAACAAATTAAATTATTAGTTGATTAATAATTAGTAGTTGATTAATAATTAGTAGAACAATTTTTTTTTTTTTTTTTTAAAAAAAATGGGGTTTAGGTTAATAGGATTTTAAATAGTAATGCTTGTTTTTATTAATGAATAATTGATCTTTTTAATTGGAGATCACATATATAGTTTAAATTGAGAATGATTTGATAGTTTTTTGATTTGTCGATGGTTTGATTCTTCTTCGTAAAAAAACGTGATAGTTTAGATTGAGAATAACTTGATAGTACCTTGAATTTTATTTTAATTAGATCCCCACAATTAGTTTGAAGTATATAATAAAGGAATATAAGTAAGAGAGAAACTGAGATAGAAAATCTAATTTGCTTTGTCTCCACTATAGACCAACAATTGGACAATACTACATGTGGTAGTGGCACTTTAGTGAAGAAATAAAATTTATTGGTGCGTCCATTTTAAAATTTAAGAAAGTTTGAATTTAGATATCGAGAATGATATGGTGGGACATTGAATTAAAGTGGTCAAGGTATTTTATGTAAAGCAACATTTATTGTTTTTAGCAACAAACAAATATTGTTCAAAAGAAATTTATTAATATTTCCTTCTTCACAAAGTAACTCTCCAATCCACAATGTACATTCATTCATATGTAACATATATAAATAGGATGCACAAAAAATAGCTCCAATTGCAAATTAATATATTTTCATTTGAAACCACAATAGTACATTTACAAAACATGATTTCGAAATCTCTATGGCTTTTCCTTCTCACAATCCTCCCATTTTTTGCATCTATCGACCTTGTTCAAGTATCTGCTAAGAACTCGTGGTGCCCTATAACTAAACCTAGGAGCCATGAAATTGTCGAGTATGGAAAATTTGCTGTGAAAGAAATGAACGAATTAGGCGGCACTCACATGGCGTTTGGAAGTGTTCTTCAAGGAGCCACACTAAAAGATGGAGAAAAAGTGTATATAAGGTTCGAATTAAGTGTAAAGGAAGGGTATGACCGGTCAAGGTACATGGTTGACATGTATGAAGTACCCATAATACAGTTCAAGAAAGTAACTAACATTAGAAAACTCCCTTGAATATATATGCATTTCTAGGGTTTATGTAATAATTAAGTTTTGATGGATTGATGAATAAGTGTAACTACAATTTTTGCATTGGCAAATGAATGATTAAGAGAAAACATCTGCATTTTTTTTTTTATAACTGTATATATACTAGTATTATAACTTTATACTTTTTTACATAATCTTCTAAATATATGTTATACATAATCTTATATTATGGAAAGAGAAATAAATTAAGTATAAAAAACGATAAATAAATAATATAATAGAGCATGTTAAGAGAAAATGGTCATTAAAAATTTAATAGCTAAATATAAGGTTTATACTATTTTACAAAAGGTATTATATGAATTGTTATTTTCCTTTAACAAGTTAAATTATTAGCTGATTGATAAATAGCGCAAGTTAACTCTTATCCCTTAGCTGAGGATACTTAGCCGCACAATATATACACACTATTGAGATTGAACATTGTAATATGGAAAACCAATAGAACAGTGTTGCCTTATGTATGAAAGAAACTTTGAGCTCGATCTGTCTTATAATCACATCTCGGGACACGGTGTTATTTATCATATAGTATTGTAAAATAAGTTATGAAAAATAAAGTGGCAAGAAAAAGAAAAGGTGATGAGGCACACTCCTTTTTAGCCTCTTAATGGTTAAATAGAAATTCAAAGGGTTAAATATAAATTTATTAATTAAGATCCCCATTCTTAACAAAGTCCACTCCTTTTTAGCCTCTTAACCTTATGTCCTTATCCCAACCTTTAAAACAAATCAATGCAACTCCAATCCACAATGTATATTCATAATAGGTACATATATAATTTGGATGCACAAACATAGCTCCAATTGCTAGAACATACATTGTATTTTCCATTTGAAACCACAATAGTACATATTTTAATAACTTTGCAAAACATGGTTTTGAAATCTCTATGGCTTTTCCTTCTGATAATCCTCCCGTTTTTCGCATCTCTCGAGCTTGTTCAAGTATCGGCTCAAAATTCGTGGTGCCCGATCACGAAACCTAGGAGCCGTGAGGTAGTCGAGTATGGTAAATTCGCCGTGAAAGAAATTAACGAATTACGCCGCAGTAAAATGGTATTTGGTAGTGTTCTTCAAGGAGCTACCCAAAAAGATAGAGACAAAGTGTACATAAGGTTAGAAATAAGTGTAAGGGAAGGCAAAGCCAGCACAAGGTACATGGTTAACATGTATGAGGTGCCCAAAATAAAGTTCAAGAAAGTCACTAGCATTAGAAAACTCCCTTGAGCATATGTCTAAGGTTTATCTAATAATAAGTTTGATTGATTGATGAAAAAGTTTAACTACAATTTTTTGCAATATTGCAAATGAATGATTGAGAGAAAACAAGAATATATATATATATGTATATTGTTTTTTAATAAAAATGCATATTTATAATCTAAAATGTCAAAATTCAATTATTTATATTACTTTAAAGTAGTATTTTTAATGTAAAAGTATGTATTCTTCTTGTTGAAAAATTATGAGTGGTTCACAATTAAATTGCTTAAAAACATCCCTAACGATAATAGTTTTGCAATTAATTAAGTCACGTTTTATTCGTTTACGCTCCATTTGGATCGTCAATTTGACAATTTGTGTTTGATATTTTGTTGCTAATTATTAATACATTTTTACAAAACCTTCCGAGTATAAATTAAGTATATCATTCTCTAGAATGATATTTAATTAATAGTAAACAAAAGAGTAGTAAAAATGAGACGTGAAAACGAAATATTACCTGTTAGTTTGATTTTGACCTTTATTCTACCTCATTCATATAACTTGATTCTCCCGGTAAATTGCCCATGTTAAATAAAAAAACAAAAACTACAGTGTCTTGTTAACGGCAGGAAGATTAATTAATGTGATAATAAATTAAGAGTTAGTATGACATTAATATGAGGC